TGATTGACATGGTTTTTGTTATAGAATATGCTACTTTGGGAACATGAAATAAGCAAGAGCAAAGCTGTCAATGCTGAGTATCAAAATGGGGTGCTATTCAAGTGGGCGGCAGTGTATGTATGAAGGAAGGTATGTACGTAGGTAGGAGAGTTAAAACCAGAATGATTGCTGGTGTGTACTGGATACAAAAAATAGTAAAGCGTACATTATAGTGCAAATATTTACTAAGTCATCTTTACGAACATACGTATATATGTATGTAAATACAAATGTATTGTACATATGCATAAGCGTATGTGTTGTGCCACCAACAAAGAGTGCATATACATACTTCTTTGGAGTTTTCGAAATATCCAATTAGTTTGCACTTGGACACTACATTTTCACAGAAAAATTCTAAACGATAGATATGTATTAGAACAGTGCAGGATTATTGTCGTTCTTATAGATTACCTGCTTAAGGTCTATTGTAACAGAAATCTATTCGATTAATAGATCTTCTTCGATCAGTAAGAAACTTCGTGGTTTCATTCGACTGAGGTCTTGTGCTGTATTTATATGTGTATGTATTTATACATACTTGTGCTTAGACAGAATTGTGCTACATGGCGCTTTTCCTAAAGGGTCATCAGTTACATACGTACATACATAATAACACAAACACATTCTTCGTTGAAGGGATTTTCATTCACAAAATTTCCATTCAAACATTTAGAGTCCAGTCATAAACTATCTAACTACATATGTATCTACCTTTTTACCTTATTGTGTCATCAATTTGTTTATGAGTTTTGGTTTTACTATTGTCTTAACTTTATACAAACGTATAACTTTTGTTTGCATATTAACGCTATGCGGTGGACACAAATAATGTTTTTCATTGTCGTAAAAGCTACTCTCATAAACAAACGTAAACTATATACATACGTATGCAAGTATTTATTTTATACATATGCATGTATGTACATTGGGGTGGTCCAAAATAAGTAAAGGCGGAATCTTAATGCTCTTACCCCCTAGAAAGTGTATATATAGAAAAAAAATCAAAAAAGTTGTCCATGTATTTTATAAAAAAAAACAATTTTTCGGAGAAATGGTATAGCATTCTTTAAAAACAATATAATTCGATCGGAAAACTCTGGTTCTCTTCAGGAGACTTCCAATAACAATACCAAATTGTTTGTTTAACCATTTGCTAGTACTAAAGAGTTTTTATTTATCCCCCCATTGCATTTTTTTTTTTGGCATTTTTCGGGGGTTTTAGTGGATCAATAAAATATAGTTACAATGAAACATTTTTTAAATAAATAATTGGGTATTTTTATTGGGAATATCGAAGAGGAACACAGTTTTCTTATCGAAAAATATTGATTTTCTAGAATTCTATACCATTTTTAAGAAAAGTGTTTTTTTCCCATATCAAATACATACATGGAAAATTTTGAGCGTTTTGAGCGACCTAAAATTAATATTTCTTGATTTCAAAATAGAAAAATTTGGGAAATTTATTTTCAGTATAGAACAGAGCATATACATATAGAGAGCATAAAAATTCCGACTTTACTTTCTCACATGCATTTTTGGACAACCCTTATGTACATATGTAGGTTTAAGAGCAACGTATCCGGAAATAACGGATAGAAATTAGCGATTTATAATATATCAAGTTGTAAAGAGACGAAGCATATAAAAGAGGTAAAGGTGCTAATGGATATATAAAAAAGGTGTATTAGAGAAGTGAGTGCTATTATGGTTACGAAGAAGTTGCAAGTTGCCAGCTTTTCTAACCATAACATGAGTATTCAAAGAAAATGAAAGCAAAGGGAGCAAAGAAAACCAGGCCACAGATTGTCAGGACAAGCTCAAATTAAAGGCCAATTTGAATTAGAAGATTTAGTAAGCTATTGCACATACACATATACATAATTCAAACAAATACATTTATACTAGTAAAAGGTTTAGCTTTTTTGAATCTTCTTCTTGGTGCTGTAAGTGTTTTCTGGTCGGTTCCAATAAGGCACAAAATCCGTTTCTTTTCTATGCCAACTGCAACCAATTGGAGATTACAAGTAAAGCCATGACCTTCTGCATCTGGTCTTTCCATTGCAGACGAGGCTTTTTCTATTCATCTACTACCAGCATCGCGATCCGCGTTATGAATTTTCAGAGCTTGAGCGTTTCCGTGCATTTATACCAAATGTTATATAGTAAAAGCGCAAATGCGTTCACATCTTCCGTAGAAACACTCAATCCGCCGCCCCATCAAAAGTTTAATTGTCCATGCATCCGCGCAATGAATGCAATATTCTTCCTCCAAACAGAGCCAATCCGGTGATCCGAAGTGACAGAAATGTGTGTCCCTCCTCACTCACCACTTCAAGACCTAAGCAAATGTTTATTTTTTAGTATTTATAAGCTAGCTTTTATATTGCCTCTTTCCAAATTTCAACGGTATTCGAAAGGAGAGTACATACATATCGATGGTCCTCTGCAATAAAGACACAATTCAAAAAATAAAAACTCTTCCCACTACTTTAGTAAAGACAAAACGTGGATTAGACAACGATTAGAGACATAAGATAGTTAGCGGTAAATAGTGTTTTGAGTTTTTGAATTTTGAGTTGTGCCGATATTGCAGAGGACTATCGATATGTGCAACTAGAGACTTAACATTTATCCTCCCACTTTGCGGATTTATGTATTTACTTTCCTTTCCTACATAATTTATCTCAAATGGAGAATAACGAATATTTAAAAAAAAAGTTTAAACGACCAATGCAGATCTCCATTATTTGAGAATAACAAGCAACACTTGTATGTATGTCCATTGAAATTTATCAATCATTGAAATGAACTGAATAAAAAACAAAACATTAAACTGTACTTTTTTTTTGTTTAGCGAACATATTTACCAATGTTATAGAGCTTATCTAAGCCCTTAAAATGGATTTTTTTTCGTGCTTATTTCCTTGGTCCCTGCTTATTTGGAATGACTTTTCAATTGTCGCTGTTTACCACCGCAGAATAACATTACATACAACGATAGTGAATATTTAGGTCTTGGTGTTGGTTGATTTTTCCGACAGGGTGGTAAGATGATTTATTTTGGAACGAATTTCCGTCATCCCTTGTCAAGTTTGGTTTGCAGACAAACCGGTTTCGGCGTTGTGCCATCTTCAGTGTCATTTTTCGTCAGGTCCGTTCCAGGCTAGAATCTTCTATTTACTCGGCCGGTATTTTCCGCATTAACGCTGACTCTCTTAAATATGCAGCCCAGTCACTGATGGCCATCAGCATCTAGTTCGCCTGAGAGCTGATGGTCGTCAGACAGCGGCAACAGCTCTCTACAATCTAAAATGTTGATTGTGCAATTCTTCAGAACGAGATGAGCACCTACCTCCCTTCTAGTAAAGCTTGCCACAATGCAATACTTAACACAGACAGAATTCAAAATAACTAGGTCATTTATATCTACCAATACCTAACCTTTGAGATTTTATTCAAAGTTTCCATACCGAAAATGAGTTTTCATGAATTTCAACTGGTAATTCGAAATGCTTAATAAAAGAACTCAAGGTAAACTAAGTAAGCCCCACCAAAAAAAAAAAGTCTGACGAAAGTTCTGAGAAATTTTAAATTAAAATAAAGAGAGATGAAATGCAAAGTATGTATATTTTATGCACTTAGCACATAAATGGAAAATTTTGGTTTTTGTTTATTTGTTTTTACAACAATTAAAAACTCAATTAGTGCTATATTGAAGCTGCCAATCAATGTGGCTTAACAAATAAAAAACATCTGGCAGCTACATATATGTATGTACGTATGCCCGAGTACTTTAGGAACACACTACTGATCAAGAAGCTTTGGACAAGCTTTCAAAATGGTTTACTTGTTTTTTTTTTTAGTGAAATAGAGAGTGGAAAAGGAAGGCTAACGTTTAAAACTTCCAGGAATTACCAGCTGAAAAAATTCTATTTATTTTGTCACACATGCGAGATGCAGAAAAGGCACATAAATGCACAGGTATGTACAGCAAAAAAGTGCAAAAAGTATAATAGAAATATCGAAAAAAAAACTCTGCTATAAAGCAATCAGCCACAGGCCTTTAGCTGGTGGCAAAGTGCAAACAACCAAACAAAAACAAACACTAACAACAAAGTTATAACAAACAAAGCAAATAGAGCGTGAAATTGCTAAATGGCAATGCAGCACAAGCAGTGGCAGCAACAAAAACATTTTGCAGAAAAATTTAAAATTATTTCTCTTAAAATTTTATTCATTTCGCCTGCATTTACCGCACTTGCCATAGAGATGAATAGGAAAATATTGTACAACTTCCAATATATGCAGCCACTAAAACCAACTCCACATGGAGTTGCGATCCATTGGAGCACGATGGAACCACAAGCTTTTGTGTACAACAAATTAAATGACGTCAGAAAATAAAGCAGCGAAACTGAAAGCAAAAAAAAAAGAATGTTTTAATGTTTACTATTGTCAGCTTAAAATTCTTATTTCTGCAAATTGGAAACGGTAGGTGGCATATTTGACAACATTGCCATCGTCTTAAATATGTAATAAAGGTAATAGTACAATAAAATTGATCGTACTAATTATAGAAAGAGCGACCTCAAGCAGGATGTGAGAATAAAGAGAAATGTCTAAGCCGTAGAACAGCTTGTACTATTTACCTGCCCAGATTCAGTAGCGCAAAATAGTAATTGGTGAGTTGAGAAGTACCCAAAATGGCAAGCTTTAAACAGCCAAGTTCAGACTGCTAATACTCAATGCAAATAAGCTGATAAATGCTCACTACATATCTACTTTGCTTTGGTAACGTCTTAAATATTAGCTCTGATCCAGTACTCCATGAACTTACAGGTTTTTACACGAACTTGCAGGAAAAATGATCCCGTACTCCAAATTCTTCCAAAATCCTGTAAAAGAGAGCGATTTTTAGAGAGAGGTGTGTAGAGAATGAAGTTGCAAGATTTTACCCCAACTTTTTCTTTTGGTAAAATCCTGAAGTGTCAAACGATCACTGGTTGACGTTTTTACTGGAAAATTCTTATTATGTTCCGGTACTTTTTGTTGATACTCACTTTTCACTCTCAAATCAGACAGTAATTTTTCTGTTTGACACTTTTACAGCATTTTAAACGAAAAGTATTAGATCAGAGCTATTATAGGATGCGGAAATAATATTGCGGTTTAAATTTATTCAATTACACTGACAAGGCGGAGACGTAAATTTTAATCGCACATTTGTTACTCTAATTTCGGGGAAACATTTGATTTTACATTAAAATTCTAGTGTAGCTCTCTAATCGAAAACCAGGTTAGAGAACCAAGTTCGAATTCGACTGTTATTTACAATAAAATAGACTAATAGCCGGTTTCACCAGCAATTTAAATGGAAAATTATTTCCTATTTTCTGTCAATTTCCATATAAAATTCAAAAAAAAAAAAATTCAACTCTTAACCCGTTGGTGGGAACAGATATAGAGAGTGGCCTCTGCTGTGATTGAAATATCAAATGGAGAAGTTATTGGCCTCACTTGGCATTTCCAATTGGTGTCAGTTGGCACAGAGAAGAAACGACTGGCGTGCTTTTTTGAGCTCGGCCAAAATCGCTTAGGCCGGTACAGCACCCAATAGGAAGAAGATGAATCTATGAAATTAAAGACCAAATCAGCAGGAGAGACAAGGCTCTATTCCCTCGCCCTTCTTCTAAATATTGCGGCTAAGTGCGCATTGGTGGTCCCCTTTTTTATTTTGAAATCAAAAAAATATTTAGAGGAGGGACAAATTATTTTTCGTGGAAATGGTATTGAATTCTTGAAAATATGTTTCGATCAAGAAACTCTGTTTCTGTTTAGGCGACTTCCAGTAATAATACCTAATCGTAAATTTTTCAATATCTACCTACTAACGATTTTTTATAAATTTTTTGGGTGTGTATTCGTATAAAATTATATTTTACATTAATCTTGTACTTAAAGGTCTAAAGTAAAATTTTATGCGCATATTTTTTTTAGAACATGTTAACCCAACAGTTTTCATCCGGTTGGAAGTTGTTTGGGTCAAATGAAGTAATAATAAAAATGTCTGACCCATACTGCTGACCTATTGATGTGAATTTTGGTACACACCTTTAGTGCTGACGCCACCAAAAACCGGGGACTATTTAGGTACATATTTCTTCGCAACCCTCTCATTGTGTGTACCAAATGAAAGCGCTTTCGGGCAAAAAGAATCTTGAGTTGAAAGCTGTATAACTGACAGACACTGATCTTAGTTACAGTGAAATCAAAAGTGATATACAAGTGTCAAGATTCCTTGCAGAGTAGAAGACAGAATCGGGACTACGGACTTAAACTGGAACCCGCAAGGCAATCGACAAAAGGTACTTATCTTTGGGCCTTAAGCTGCTGATACTGATTTTCTATCGATATAGGATTCATTGTGTATTGGAATGTGCGAACGCAGTGCACCTGCTACATTTCAGAAACCTTCCAGCGAAATACTTTTGAGACTTTTAACACAAAACAGATTTTCAGTTCACTTCATTTGAATGGATAGTAAAAACATCTTTTTTGTATCACGCACACGAACCTTAAAATCTAACTGAAGGCAGGTAATTCAATTCACAACAACAACTACAACCTATGCTATATAATTTAAGCCGACAGCCGCCACAACAGCAGCCAGTAATCAGTAGAAAAAGTGACAGTTGGCAGCATGTTTGGGATAAATAAAATATGTACAAGCCACAAAAATGTTTATAGGATAGAATAACGAAAATATATGTACTCACAATTTGCACATGCACATACATATGTATAATGTAGGTACATATTTACCCGCATACATAGCGATACTTTTAATCAATTCAGAGGCCTACTAGACAACAGCCAAAATACGTTTGTGAAGGACGTCATTGCCAACATTACGTCAATTACTGCAATCAGACTGGCGACAACAGCAAAAACAACTGTGAACTACAGCAACATAACATAGCCTAGAAATGAGTGCAGACAATGGACCACATCATAATTACAGCAACAACAACAACAGCGGCAGTAACAACTATTCACAATTATGGCACAACTAAATGCATACAATGGGTATACTCGTGCTGCTGATTTGAGAACAAAAGGTGAACAATATGTCGTTTTGGCGCAGCAGCAATCGAAAATTGTCAGCTGCCAAAGCAACAATACATTGTTCTCTGGTGTCTGTTGTCGTATAACTATAGCGCTCTAACAATATGGCAACGTCAATTTGGCGCGACGCTTGCCAAAATAACGACAATGCCGTAGTTACGTATAAACGTACGAGTAAGTACATACGTATAATGGTGTATGAATTGATGTTGACGACTAGACGCCGATAACATTCGTCTAAACAACAGTCTGATCGCAGTATGCGATATTCATGGAAATATTTTGCAAAATCAGGTAAATGTGTGAGGCGAAATATTACACAAAATAATAAAGTGGTAGCAACAACAATGGAGACGCGCACAAAATTCGCTGCGTGAGATTACGTAAGCTTGGAAAAGATGATAAAACGATTACAATGTTATGTATGTATGTATTTGGGAGACCTTGGCGCCATTTTGCTGTGAAAATATTCAAGCTGTAAGAATGTTGATAATCTCATTAAAAATAAAATATTATAAAAAGGTGTCTTTGTATAACTACTATTAACAAATATGTATGTACTTATCTATGTATAAGTTTATATTGCGTTGGTTATGGTTTTCATACCAAGTCTGGAAGAAGTAATTCCTATTTACACCATCTAGAATACTTAAATAATTCATACGAACATTTAATATGGGTTACTTAACAGGTTGGGTATTTATGTGGATTAACACAAACGGCAATAACGGTTATTTATCAATTGAATGTGATATAACACAAATTTGCTTTATTTCATTTCTCGTTGAGCAATAAGACCAACTTTTAAACTTAAGAATTCAGTTATAAAGCAAAATAGTGCACATATGTATGTAGGTAGTCACCCAGTTACATTTGACAAAAAATAGTAGGTATGAAGTTTTATGGCCGTAGGATAACGATAACCCGTGCCAACATTTAGTTGAAGTTTTAGTTAATAACTTGAATTAATCGTTCATGAAAACTTTGGAAAAACGAAAAATTCGGTATGTTTCCCATATTTTAACGCATTTATAGTAAATCTGCATCTTTAAATTTTTAATATGACGGCAGGATTTCTCCCAAGGAAATCGAAAAAATTAATTGAAGTAAAATATCCTTTGCAACTTTTATCCTTCAATTAAACCAAGATTCTTCAAAATGCATTCAAAATTAAAAATCTTGAAGAATGATATTTTTAAAGGACATTTTTGACATGTTTCAAAAGGATTATTAAAAACAAAAGTTGTTATTAATTTTGTTTTAATTTTTCTTTTCATTGATACCTATATATCCATAGTTTGTGTAAACTTTTGGAAATATATTATCTATAAATTATAGAGCTTTGAGAAAAGTCCTGACTACCTGGTTAAAAACTAAAAACGCAGATTATACTCTATGGAGTATAGCAATACAGCTTTATATAGAAGTAAAATGAGTGAGTTAGAAATCACGCGAACTGCACAAAGATTATTCGGGTTGCTGTGGTCCGAATTGCATAAACATTTTTTTGGATAGTTTTTAAGACAAAACCAAAAAAATGAGGGCGTGTGCGTTAGTAAAAACAACTTTGATTTTTTGCGATAGTCTAATGTACATATATGCGCTTAAGAAATACTGTGTAAAAATCTTAAACGCTAATATTTAATCACTTTTAAAAAATATGACTTTTAAGTTAAGGCGTGCGAGTAAACGGTTAGATGTCTGCGTATGGTGCTACGAGGCGTATACGGTACATACGCAACTGCTGGTATATGTATCGCAGCCCTGGGCGGCGCCTGCCCGTCGGGTATATTCGCGTATACATACACGCTCTGCTTTAGAAGGCAGCGAAAGCTTCACTCAACCGCACGACTTGGTCGCACGCACACAGTGACATCAACTGCACGCACACTACAAAAATTCTCTGTCGAAGCTGCCCACCTCTGATGCACGGTGACCGTATTTATGAAAGCCGAATAGATACGGGATAAAAAATAATTTTGCAAATTTTTTCCACAACAGCTTAAAGATCTTAAAGCCTTCTTCAATGATCCTAGATATATTAGCCCTGAAACTGTATCCTTTTAGTAACATCACAAATTTGTAGGATAATTTTCTCAAGATTTTTACCCCGTAAAATTTGTTTAAAAAAATTCGTTAAATTTTAGTATAATAAAGTGGAATTTAAAGTCGCTAAGGCTAAAAACATAGTGGAGCGGCGAGCAAAGAGCATCGAGCAAAGCGTCGATTTTAAACGCATATTATGTTTCAATGGGAGAGTGAAGAGCAAAGCGTACATACTCGTTTGTAATTGAAGCTTTGCTCGATGCTAGCTCTTCACTTTGCCCGCCGCTCCACTATGTTTTGACCCTAAAGCTTACCATTAATTCTTGGCAATTTATTTGATTTTTTTGACGGTGTTACGCATTTTTTACACACAAAGTAAGTATGTTCGGCCATTTTTTTTGAAAGAGAAGCAAATGAGCAGCATTTTCCACTCGCACTTTATCATACTGAATTTTAATAAGTTACAAAACTGTAAACCAAATTTTTTTCTAAAGACTCTTATTAATAAGTTTGAAATTTTGGTGAAACATTGCATAATTAATTTTTATAGCTTTTTTGCACAAAGTTGGAAATTTGGCATAATATGGTTTTTTGTTAGGAAAAGAGCTCTACTTTCATAAAATATATAATAAATATTAAACAAACTAAGGAAAAATAGGCAAAACTTACTAAAACGTCGCGTCCTAATTTTGGGTTTGGTCGCTGTATGTGTTCCTCGATTCGAATCACAGGCATTCCGATTAGAAAATAATAACTGTTTATGGAGGAAATTACGATCATATAACAATATCACCT